CAACACTCAGGTCTGATACAGTGGAAAAAATAAATCACTTCACGTTATTAACACTGACGTTGAACTTTGTGACAGTTTTTGTATCATGTGGATAGACCCAACAGTTCCAGAGATATGAATCATAAACCATGTCGAGCATTTGCTTTCTGTTGAATCTGGCACGACTTATCACAGTCCAAAAACTTCCAAAAGTGAAAAAAAATGAGCTTAAATGAGCCAGTTAGTCAACCAAAGGCGAGAGTGACCAGATTTTCAACATAAAAACTGGGACATTCCCTGGTTTGTAATAATAAAATTGTGAAACAAGTTGTAATTAATGAAAACTGTTCTGCAGTCGACCCATTCACGACTAACGTGAGTCAGTTTAGTCACATTTTCTTTGTGTTTTTGTCATTTTTGCGCATCTTTTTTGTGTTTTAAAACCACGTTGAGCATTTGCGTTCTGCTGAATCTGGCACGGTTTGTGTTTGTGTGCCAAAAATTTGGTTAAACGGGCCGTTCAGAGTCAACCAAAGGGTATTGTGACCAGATTTTCAACATAAAAAAAGTGGGACACCTCTGGTTTGTGGTGGTTGTTAATATTAAAATTGTGAATCGAGTCGTAATTAAGGAGAATTTTTCTGAGCTTGGTCCATTCACGACTAACATGAGTCAGTATAGTCACATTTTCTTTGTGTTTTGGTCATTTTTAAGCAGATTTTCTGTATTTTACTTTAACAAATGACAACTTTTGATTGTTGGTACTGATTAAATTGGTCAAAAACAGAGACACCTGGGACATTTCTTGTATAAAACTGGGACAAATCACTGGTTTTGTATAAATCTGCTGGGACAGGGGACACAGGCTCATAACTGGGACTGTCTCGGGTAAACAGTGAAAACACTCAGGTCTGATACAGTGGAAAAAATAAATCACTTCACGTTATTAACACTGACGCTGAACTTTGTGACAGTTTTTGTATCATGTGGATAGACCCAACAGTTCCAGAGATATGAATCATAAACCATGTCGAGCATTTGCTTTCTGTTGAATCTGGCACGACTTATCACAGTCCAAAAACTTCCAAAAGTGAAAAAAAATGAGCTTAAATGAGCCAGTTAGTCAACCAAAGGCGAGAGTGACCAGATTTTCAACATAAAAACTGGGACATTCCTGGTTTGTAATAATAAAATTGTGAAACAAGTTGTAATTAATGAAAACTGTTCTGCAGTCGACCCATTCACGACTAACGTGAGTCAGTTTAGTCACATTTTCTTTGTGTTTTTGTCATTTTTGAGCAGCTTTTTTTGTATTTTAAAACCACGTCGAGCATTTGCGTTCTGCTGAATCTGGTACAGTTTGAGTTTTGGAAGTTTCTGAAGTTCAAAAACTTCCTTAAGTGCCAAAAATTTGCTTAAACGGGTCAGTCAGAGTCAACCAAAGGGTATTGTGTCCAGATTTTCAAAATAAAAACCTGGGACATCCCTGGTTTGTGTTGGTTTGTAATAATAAAATTTTAAAACAAGTGCAAAATTTAGGAGAATTTTTCTGCACTTGGCCCATTCATGACAAACATGTGAGTCAGTATACTCACATTTTCTTAATGTTTTGGTCATTTTAAAGCAGATTTTCTGTATTTTACCTAAACTAATGGCAATTGAAGTGTCTCTTTACTGTTGTGAGGGATTAAGTTGGTAAAAAATAGGGACATTTCTTGAATAAAACTGGGACAAATCACTGGTTTTGTATAAATCTGCTGGGACCTGGGACACAGGCTCATAAATGGGACTGTCTCGGGTAAACAGTGAAAACACTCAGGTCTGATACAGTGGAAAAAAGAAATCACTTCACGTTATTAACACTGACGCTGAACTTTGTGACAGTTTTTGTATCATGTGGATAGACCCAACAGTTCCAGAGATATGAATCATAAACCATGTCGAGCATTTGCTTTCTGTTGAATCTGGCACGACTTATCACAGTCCAAAAACTTCCAAAAGTGAAAAAAAATGAGCTTAAATGAGCCAGTTAGTCAACCAAAGGCGAGAGTGACCAGATTTTCAACATAAAAACTGGGACATTCCCTGGTTTGTAATAATAAAATTGTGAAACAAGTTGTAATTAATGAAAACTGTTCTGCAGTCGACCCACTCACGACTAACGTGAGTCAGTTTAGTCACATTTTCTTTGTGTTTTGGTCATTTTTGCGCATCTTTTTTGTGTTTTAAAACCACGTTGAGCATTTGCGTTCTGCTGAATCTGGCACGGTTTGTGTTTGTGTGCCAAAAATTTGGTTAAACGGGCCATTCAGAGTCAACCAAAGGGTATTGTGACCAGATATTCAACATAAAAAAAGTGGGACACCTCTGGTTTGTGGTGGTTGTTAATATTAAAATTGTGAATCGAGTCGTAATTAAGGAGAATTTTTCTGAGCTTGGCCCATTCACGACTAACATGAGTCAGTATAGTCACATTTTCTTTGTGTTTTGGTCATTTTTAAGCAGATTTTCTGTATTTTACTTTAACAAATGACAACTTTTGATTGTTGGTACTGATTAAATTGGTCAAAAACAGAGACACCTGGGACATTTCTTGTATAAAACTGGGACAAATCACTGGTTTTGTATAAATCTGCTGGGACAGGGGACACAGGCTCATAACTGGGACTGTCTCGGGTAAACAGTGACAACACTCAGGTCTGATACAGTGGAAAAAATAAATCACTTCCACGTTATTAACACTGACGCTGAACTTTGTGACAGTTTTTGCATCGCGTTGAAACCTACAAACCACAAAACCACGTCGAGCGCTCGCGTCCCCGTCGAGTTCGACACGGCTCGTCACGGCTCAAAAACTTCCAAAACTGCCAAAAAAATGAGCTTAAACGGGTCGTCGGCCAGAGTCAGGTCAGGTACTGTGACCAGATTTTCAACATAACAAACTGGGACATTCCTGGTTTGTAATAATAAAATTGTGAAACAAGTTGTAATTAATGAAAACTGTTCTGCAGTCGACCCATTCATGACTAACGTGAGTCAGTTTAGTCACATTTTCTTTGTGTTTTTGTCATTTTTGAGCAGCTTTTTTGTATTTTAAAACCACGTCGAGCATTTGCGTTCTGCTGAATCTGGTACAGTTTGAGTTTTGGAAGTTTTTGAAGTTCAAAAAACTTCCTAAAGTGCCAAAAAATTTGCTTAAACGGGTCAGTCAGAGTCAACCAAAGGGTATTGTGTCCAGATTTTCAAAATAAAAACCTGGGACATCCCTGGTTTGTGTTGGTTGTAATAATAAAATTTTAAAACAAGTGCAAAATTTAGGAGAATTTTTCTGCACTTGGCCCATTCATGACAAACATGTGAGTCAGTATACTCACATTTTCTTAATGTTTTTGGTCATTTTAAAGCAGATTTTCTGTATTTTACTAAACTAATGGCAATTTAAGTGTCTCTTTACTGTTGTCAGGGATTAAGTTGGTCAAAAATAGGGACATTTCTTGTATAAAAACTGGACAAATCACTGGTTTTGTATAAATCTGCTGGGACAGGGGACACAGGCTCATAAACTGGGACTGTCTCGGGTAAACAGTGACAACACTCAGGTCAGATACAGTGGAAAAAAGAAATCACTTCACGTTATTAACACTGACGCTGAACTTTGTGACAGTTTTTGCATCGCGTTGAAACCTACAAACCACAAACCACGTCGAGCGCTCGCGTCCCCGTCGAGTTCGACACGGCTCGTCACGGCTCAAAAACTTCCAAAACTGCCAAAAAATGAGCTTAAACGGGTCGGCCAGAGTCAGGTCAGGTACTGTGACCAGATTTTCAACATAACAAACTGGGACATTCCTGGTTTGTAATAATAAAATTGTGAAACAAGTTGTAATTAATGAAAACTGTTCTGCAGTCGACCCACTCATGACTAACGTGAGTCAGTTTAGTCACATTTTCTTTGTGTTTTTGTCATTTTTGAGCAGCGTTTTTGTATTTTAAAACCACGTCGAGCATTTGCGTTCTGCTGAATCTGGTACAGTTTGAGTTTTGGAAATTTTTGAAGTTCAAAAACTTCCTAAAGTGCCAAAATTTTGCTTAAACGGGTCAGTCAGAGTCAACCAAAGGGTATTGTGTCCAGATTTTCAAAATAAAAACCTGGGACATCCCTGGTTTGTGTTGGTTTGTAATAATAAAATTTTAAAACAAGTGCAAAATTGAGGAGAATTTTTCTGCACTTGGCCCATTCATGACAAACATGTGAGTCAGTATACTCACATTTTCTTAATGTTTTGGTCATTTTAAAGCAGATTTTCTGTATTTTACCTAAACTAATGGCAATTGAAGTGTCTCTTTACTGTTGTCAGGGATTAAGTTGGTAAAAAATAGGGACATTTCTTGTATAAAACTGGGACAAATCACTGGTTTTGTATAAATCTGCTGGGACAGGGGACACAGGCTCATAACTCGGACTGTGTTGGGTAAACAGTGACAACACTCAGGTCTGATACAGTGGAAAAAATAAATCACTTCACGTTATTAACACTGACGTTGAACTTTGTGACACTTTCTGCATCGCGTTGAAACCTACAAACCACGTCGCAGCGCTCGCGTCCCCGTCGAGTTCGGCACGGCTCGTCACGGCTCAAAAACGTTCCAAACGCGCCAGAAAACTCTCTCTGGAACCCCGTGTTCCGTCCGCTCCTCACGTTGGACTCCGTGAATGGCCTCCCTCCTTCCCCTTCCTCCGTCACGTCTCTCCTTCCCCAGCGCGCCGTGTTTGTGCCCGCGCGCCCCGCCTCCTGCCCACGCCCCCTGTCCCCGCCCCCTTTCTCCTTTCCTCCTCCCCTCCCCGCTCCCTCTCCCTCTCGTACGGGCCCGCTATGATGATTTAGAAGTTCAGGAATCCCATGTCACGTCATCGGGGGGTGATGTAATGCTGCTGTAAATAGCTCGTATTGTAATCTCGCTCCAGTCCAACGTGGTTCCTCTCCTCGGAGCGCGCGGCTAAGCTAGAGGTAAGCGCCGCGTTTTGGATAACTTTTACGCACGGCTTTTACGCGTCGCCTAACTTCACCGGGACTTCGCCGATTTTATATCCGGGCTCCGAACTCGTCCCGGGAGTCGATTCGGCGTGCGTCCGCGCGTTCTGGAGCGGATACACGGGCTATTTAGGGGGTGTGACAGCTCGCTCCGTACAGCTGTGAGCGCCGGCGGAGTGCGGGCTCGCGTGTTTATGTTGCTGCTGTTGCTGCTGAAGCTGCTGCTGGAGCTGTGAAGTACCGCGGGGCATGTGCCAGGAGCGGAGCCCGGGCACAGAGGCGCTTGTCCGGGCACAGATTTGAGGACGCAGCCGCCGGTCGGTAACGGTGAAACTTGCCCACGGTGGGGGGGGAAAGTGCACGCTGTCATCCTCCCGCTGCCCAACACGGGACTAGTTAGAGGTAGGGTTGGCACGTTTTTTTGTTTTTTGTTTGGTTTTATTCTGATTTTGGAAATGACAGGTGTACAGTGTGGAAGTTTGGCACGAGAAAACGTTTTTTTAAGTTGACGCTGAAGCTGAAAATTAAAGGATTTACGTCGTTATAAAATGTTAACACTTTCCACTCACTTTATAGTTATGTTTTTATAGTTTTTAACATTCAAAAATACTTTTATACTGCATTTATTGTCGTCTCTTTTAAACAAAAAGGCGCAGACGTTCGAAAATACCCTGGAGTTGTGCGAGAAAGACACTTCAATTCCATGACTTTTCCAAAACTTTCAAAACTTTTTAAAATGTCGTAACTTTTGGAGGATTTCCATGACCGTAGGAAGCCTGAATATCACGTCAATTTAACTTTCGTGAGCTTTTAGTCGTGTTATAATGTCGTTACCTCATCACAAACAGACCTGGAGTTGTGTTTTGTTTCATTCACACACGATTAAAACAAAAAAAAAAACACTTGAAACTCTTGTCATGTCATGTGCTCCACTGTGTTTTTAAACTCCGTACACCTTCACTAGATTCGTGTGCATAGTTTAAACTCCAATTTCTGCCAATTTCTACTGAACTAAATGTAAAAAAAAGAAGCTTTAAACTTTAAAATTAACGCTTCGTGACATCACAGAGTGGATCAGAGCGTTTTGAGCTTTGGACATGGAGACAGACAAATAAAAAAGAGAAAAAAAACACAACTCCAGGTTTGTTTTTGATGAGGTAACAACATTATAACACCACTAAAAGCTCACGAAAGCCAAATTTACGTGATATTCAGGGTCATAGAAATCCTCAAAGTTATGAAATTTTTTTAAGTTTTGAAAGTTTTGGAAAAGTCATGGAATTTAAGTGTCTTTTTCACACAACACCAAGGTTTTCTGAAGTTCTCATGAGGCTATTATGATTATTTACGAACGTCTGTGCCTTTTTGTTTAAAAGAGACGACAATAAATGCAGTATAAAAGTATTTTTGAATGTTAAAAACTATAAAACTATAACTATAAAGTGAGTGGAAAGTGTTAACATTTCATATTTAGCCCTAAAAGTAAAAGTATGAGTCGCAAAGTCATGGAAAATTCGCTTTAGGTCATGAAAAAGTCGTGGAAAAGTTTTGAAATTCTGAAAAAATTAAGGTTAATTCCAAGAAACATAAAATTTTGCCTGTCTAAAGATCGTTAATCAACTTTAATTGTCAATAATTGTTCTAAAAATCAAAAAAGAAGCTGTTTAAATCGTGTATAGAGCCGTCTGTTTCTTTAAATTTGCACTACGTAACTTTCCTCCCGCTCGTCTCCACGGTGACGTTATTCCTCGACCGACCGGAACGCCGTGGCATTCGTCGTACGAGCGAGCGGGGGGGGGGGGTCACCTCTCCGCAGACCTGACCCGTAGACGCCCGCACCTGCTCGGTCGTCTCCGCTGTCTCGGGTTTAATGCCGTACTGTGGAACATTCCTGGCAAAGCTGCATCATTACATCTTCATGGAGACGAACAGATGCTGGAGCCGGAGCCAGGAAAGCCACAGGGGCAACTTCCAGAACGCCGTCGTTAGATCAGATGAGACGAGATAAGCTCAAGGGCACAATGGAAACACACAACATCCAAACACTGACTTATTATTTATTGTTCGCCGATAAAGTGAAAGTTTCAAGTTGTTTTAAAGTTTTGTCGACGTCTATAAATCTTAAAATTTTCTGTTAAAATCTCTTGTGAGTTTTCAAGTTTACGGCGACTTTTTTTATCTTTAGTTCGGGAGAGTTTTGGGAATTCCGGGGTTGAAGTGATTCCAGTGAAGGTGTGTGGAGTTTAAAAACACGGTGGAGCACCACGCGATGACATCACAAGGTGCAACAGAGTGATTAGGGTCAGATCATAGCACGTATTAGAGCACAGTGTGTTGTAACGCGGAGTAAAGTCGTCACATGTTGGGTCTGGGTCTAGGTCTAGGTCTGAGTCTGGGTCTTGGTATGGGTCTGGTCTGGGTCTAGGTCTGCTCTGAGTCTGAGTTGGGGTCTGGTCTGGGTCTAGTCTAGGTCTGGGTCTTGGTATGGGTTTGAGTCTGGGTCTGGTCTGCTCTGAGTCTGAGTTTGGGTCTGGTCTGGGTCTAGTCTAGGTCTGGGTCTTGGTATGGGTTTGAGTCTGGGTCTGGGTCTGGTCTGCTCTGAGTCTGAGTCTTGGTCTGGGCCTGGTCTGGGTCTAGGCCTGCTCTCAGTCTGGGTCTGGTCTGGTCTGGGTCTAGGTCTGCTGTGAGTCTGAGTCTGGGTCTGGTCTGGGTCTAGGGTCTAGGTCTAGGTCTAGGTCTAGGTCTAGGTCTAGGTCTTCTGGTATCTGGGTCTTGGTTGGGGTCTAGGCCTGCTCTGAGTCTGGGTCTGGTCTGGGTCTGTTCTGGGTCTAGGTCTGCTGTGAGTCTGGGTCTGGGTCTGGGTCTGGTCTGGTCTAGGTCTGGTCTGGGTCTGGGAGGTCTGCTGTCTGAGTCTGAGTCTGGGTCTGGGTCTGGGTCTGGGTCTGGTCTGTCTGGTCTGGGTCTAGGTCTGCTGGGTCTGAGTCTGGGTCTGGGTCTGGGTCTGGGTCTGTCTCTGGGTCTGGTCTCTATGTCTATTCTGGGTCTGTTCTGAACCTGGGCCTATTCTGGGTTTGGTATGGGTCTGGTCTGGCTCTGGTCTGGGTCTGTTCAGTGTCTAGGTCTGTTCTGGGTCTGGTCTGGGTCTGGTCTGGGTCTGTTCTGGGTCTGGTCTGGGTCTGTCTGGGTCTGTTCTGTTTTGGGTCCTGGCTGGTCTGGGTCTGGTCTGAGTCTGGGTCTGGTATGGAGCTGTTCTATTCTGGGTCTGGGTCTGTCCTGGGTCTGTTCTGAGTCTGTGTCTGCTCTTAGTCTGTTTTGGGTCTGTTCTGGGTCTGTTCTGGGTCTGGTCTGGGTCTCTGTCTGGTCTGAATCTGCTCTGGATTTGCTCTGAGTCTCCTCTTGGTCTGTTCTGGGTCTTTTCTGGGTCTGGGTCCAGCCTGGTCTGGGTCTGTCCTGGGTTCTTGTCTGCTTCGGTCTTGGGTCTTCTAGATCTTGGTCTCCGCTCTGGCTCTGGCTCTGCTCTAGGTCCTGGTCTGAACCTGGGTCTGGTCTGGGTCTGGGTCTCCTCTGGGTCTCCTCAGAGCCTGGTATTGGTCTCCTCTGGGTCTGTTCTGGGTCTCCTCTGCTCTGGGTCTGGGTCTTGGTCTGTTCTGGGTCTGGGTCTGGTCTGTTCTAGGTCTGGGTCTGGGTCTGGGTCTGTTCTAGGTCTCCCCTGGGTCTCCCCTGAGTCTGGTCTGAGCCTGGGTCTGTTCTGGGTGTAGATCTGTTCTAGGTCTCCTCTGGGTCTCCTCTGGGTCTCCTCTGGGCCTGGTCCCGGTCTAGTCCTGGTCCTGGTCTGGGTTTTTTGCGAGGATGATGTCACTGATGTAAACCCTGACAGACGGTTTGGCTGAAAAGTGCTGAGTCTGGAGACGAGAGGATTTGAGGAGGAGGGACGAGCCTGACGCACTTTTACTCTGAGCACTTTTTAATTTCATCAAGTTTCAGACCAAGACCGAGTTTCAGACCAAGACCGAGTTTCAGACCAAGACCAGGGTCCGAGTCGTCTGTGGCTCGAGTTTATGTTTTATATTTTAAGATTTAGAAATAAAGGCGACATTTTCCAGATTAAAGGTGCTGTGGTTCAAAGTTTTTCCTCAGTTACTTTTTGCATCCAGGGTAAAAAAAATTAAAAATAATAATAATAATTCATGAATCAAATTTTTAAGTTTTTGTTTTGTTTAGAGGAAAATTTGTTTTATTTTTTCAGTTTTCTTGACTGGAAATTGTATTGGAAATATAAGAGAAGGACTGTGATGTGCAGAGAGGTTTGGTCTAGGTCTGGGTCTAGGTCTGGGTCTAGGGTCTGGGTCTGGGTCTGGGTCTGGGTCTAGGTCTGGGTCTGGGTCTGGGCCTTGTCTGGGTCTGGTCTAAGTCTGGTCTGAGTCTTGTCAGAGCCTTGTCTGAATCTGGTCTGGATCTGCTTTGAGTCTGGTTTGAGCCTGGTCTGGGTCTGGGTCTGGTCTGACTCTGGTCTGGTCTAGGTCTGGTCTGAGTTTGGTCTGGGCCTGGTCTGGGTCTCGTCTGGTCTGAGTCTGGTCTAGGTCTGGTCTGAGTCTGGTCTGTCTGGTCTGAGTCTGGTCTGGGTCTGGTCTGGGTCTGGTCTGAGTTTGGTCTGGGCCTGGTCTGGGTTTTGGTCTAGGTCTGGGTCTGGGTCTGGTCTGAGTCTGGTCTGGGTCTGGTCTGGTCTGGTCTGGAGTCTGCTCTGAGTTTGGTCTGAGTTTGGTCTGAGTTTGGTCTGGGCCTGGTCTGGGTCTAGGTCTGGTCTGGTCTGAGTCTGGTCTAGGTCTGCTCTGAATCTGGTCTGAGTTTGGTCTGGTCTGAGTCTTGGTCTGGGTCTGGTCTGAGTTTGCCCTGGGCCTGGTCTGGTCCTGGTCTGGGTCTGGTCTGGTCTGGTCTGGGTCTGGTCTGGTCCTGGTCTGGGTCTTGGTCTGGTCTGGTCCGGTCCCTTTCTGTATTGAATTGCAATTTTTGTGTAGTTTTTGTAAATTCCGAAGTATTTATTTGTGCAAAGTTTTAAAATGTATTTGCACTTTATTATACACAGAAAATTTCATGAATTAAAAAAAGAAAAAGTGATTTAAAAAAAAAAAAAAAAAAAGAGCGAGGAGTAAAGGCTGTAAACATCAAAAAAGTGTCGTTTTAAGAGAAAAAAGTTTTTTTTTACTTTTAACCACAAAACAAACAAATCTAAAGTACAACATAAATATAAAAGTAAAACATTTCAAGTAAATAAAGTTAAAATCACGTTTTTGCCCCAAATCAGCCTCACGTTTAAAGC